GGGTGGGGGTGGCGGGTGCACAGGAAGCCGGAGCAGGAGCAGGGAGCTGGGTGCCGCTCAGAGAGGGCCCATCTGCCTCCCAGTCCCGGGCTTCTGACTGTCATATGAAAACGTTCCTCGTTATTTTCCTTGGACGAGGTTGGTATCCTGATGATATTAATTATTCTTAAAGGTCAACAGCGCTCTTTCGAATCCCCTTCTGTTCTAGCCCGTAATCAGTTAATTAATTGGAAACCGTTTAGCAGCGTCTGCGAGCACGGTGGGGTAGGGGTCTGGCGTGAGGTTCCTCGTTGGTTCCCGCCACATGCCCGTTGCTCCCAGGGATTGAGGGCCCGGAGCCTGGGCCCAGGCCCGGCCGCCTGCTTGGCTACGGATGCTTAGGAGGTGTTGCCTTCTCAGCTCTCTTCTTGTGAGTGTTATGGGTGCTGGTAGCCCATTGCCACTGGGCACCTACATGTGACAGGCCCCCCTGTGGGGCGCCCCTGTGTTATTGTAGTCTGTTCTCACCATCAAGTAAATGTGCCCATTTCCGAGGAGAAAAGGGTGAGGCTCAGGCAGGAATCGCAGAGCTAGAAAGTGGCCAAGGAGGTCGGAGGTTGGGTGTCAGCCTATGAACCAAGTGGTCAGGGTTCGATTCCCGGTCAGGGCACAGGCCCGGGTTGCAAGAGGCAGCCGGTCTATGATTCTCTCGCGTCATGGATGGTTCTGTCTCTCTGTCCCTCACCCTTCTTCTCTGAAAGCAATAAAAATATACTTTAAAAATCAATAGGAAAATACCCCAGGGTGAGGATTAGCACCAGAAAGGTCACTAGGCCGGTCGGAGGTCCTGGAAGTGGCTTCCTGGGCCGTCCCCATCATCGCCCGGGGCTGGAGCGCTTCTCCCAGGCGCTTCCCCTCCCACTGCTCCGATCCAGGGAGGCTGGAGGCCTGAGGAGATGTGTTCAGAGAGGCCCAGAGCAGCCCTCGAATGAGGACCAGTGTGATGTCCTGGCTCTACCACCATGACGGGGTTCGCGTGCAGAGCCTCCACCAGGCCCGGGGCACTCGGCCCCTGCATGGGCACCGCTGGGGTGCCCAGTGTCGGCCAGGCGTTCCCCGCTGGGCCCCAGAGGCAGCTCACGTGCTGTGGGGAGATTGGCTTTTGGTTGATTTGTCTGAAAAGGACAAAAGCCCCCTTTCCGTGTTGCCTCGTTGACCCGGACTTTGTTGACGTTTGAATTCAGCGGCGCAGCCTGGGCCTCGGGTGTTCGCTCTAACGGCTGGAACTGGTGGCGACTGGAGATGGGCAGATAAGGGAGAGACGCCAGGCATGGACAGTGACAGATGGGAGAGATCAGCCAAAGGACATGTGTGCACATACCGGCCATTGGTGCCCGATTCACCCTGCCCTCTCCTTCCTGGAACTGCTCGTGGTTTTCCTGGCCACCACCTCCATCTGGTGGGGATTTCCACACCCACCTCACCCTCCAAGGTGATTTCAGGAACGGAGGACAACAGACCAAATACATATTTTTAAAAAATATATTTTTATTGATTCCAAAGAGAAAGGGAGAAGGGGGGAGGAGGAGAGAGAGAAAGATAGAGAGAGAGAGAGAGAGAGAGAGAGAGAGAGAGAGAGAGAGAGAAACAACAATGATGAGAGGGATTCATGGATCGGCTGCCTCCTGCACGCCCCCCACTGGGGATGGAGCCCACAACCCGGACCTGTGCCCTGACCGGGAATCGAACCGTGACCTCCTGGTTCCTAGGTTGATGCTCAGCCACTGAGCCACGCCCTGGTGAGACCAAATGTTATGCCAACGATGCCTGATTGTGCTTCTCTCTCAGGAAGCCCCAAGGCCTTGGGGAGCTGCGAGCAGGTACTACTGTGAGCAGGACTAAGACCAAACCTCTCTTTCTTACCACAACCATCATTTCTGTAGACAACGCCGTGTGGGTGATGTTTCTGCTGGTGTCTTCACGGAGAAACCTGTAGCCAGTGAGTGTGAGGCCTCGGGCCAGGGCCTGTCCTCCACAAAGGCTCTGAGCAGTCCTGCAGGGCAAGCCTGTTTGATTTTGCTCGGGATGACACTTTTTTAAGCAACATGACTTTTTTTCATACCGTCAATTCTCTGCAGCCCTCGATTCCCAGGAACTTGCCCTGGGAAACCCTGGTGCAGCCCCGCGCAGGGCCTGGGAGAAAAACTGCCTCCAGCTCCTGATCGAAGGTCAGGCACCAGTCATGCCACTTGAGATTTGATTAGAGAAAGCATTTTGGCTTCATTAAAGTTCATTAAACGAGCCATCCAGTGCCATTTAGCTGAATAAAAATGGCTCAAATGGCTTTCGGTCCCCCCCACCCCCTTTTAGAGCAATTTAATTGAGGAAAAAGCAAATATGTCAGTGATGCAGACAAACATCTCTCCGCCTTCGAGGGGGCACATCGCGGGCTCTGGGTTTGCCGGGGCTGGCTGCAGGCCGTGGCGACGAGACAGTGTGGTGCTTGCCTGAGCGGTGGATGGCGGTGAGGCTGACCGAGCCGGAAGTCACAAGGTCAAGGCCGATGAGGTGTCAGGTCCCCGCTCACAGAGACGTGGGCAGCACCTGTCAGCCTCCCCTGTCCTCCCACTCGCACTCTCTGTGAGTCTGGGGCTGCCCCGGGCGTCCTCCTTCCTGACCTTGCCTCCAGAGCCCCACCTGACACGGAGGGGCGGGGGGATGCTTCTTCCAGGGGGAAATGAGAAGACAGACAGCCGAGGGGCCGGTGGTCTTAGGGAAAGGCTGCCTTGGTAGATGAAGGAATGAGGTTTATGTCATGTGCTTGCAGCCCGTGAGCCACAGGCCCTGGGCGCCCGTCAGCCGGGCGGGGCAGCCTTGCCGGGGCCTGGCCAGCTGTGCTTGGTGCTCTGAGCCCACACTGCACTCCGAAAAGGGTCTTTTGTAAGAGCAGAGAGATCCCCGAAGGGGCCAGGGACCCGGGGCATCCACCTCGGAGGCTGGTTCTGGTCTCTCTGTTAACAGGGGAAGCTGACCGAGTGGACAGAGAGCAGATGGGAGCTCAGGGGCTGGAGGCTAGAGTGACTGGGCACAGACAGAGAGAGGGAGGGAGGAAAGGACAGACTCCTGGACAGTAAGCTTGGAATCGATGCTGCGGGGGCTTCTCCGTCTGCACAAGGGCTGGAGGCTCTGGAAGCCAAGGCCCTTGGGTGAGCTGGTGCCCACTGCAGTGTCCCCGCCCCGCCCTCTCTAACTTGTACGATAATTCAATTTCTTATTCTTTATTTGCCCGGAATGCCTGTTATTGTAGTTCTTTCAGAATCCAATTTTCTCGTGACATTTCTGCCTAACATAGCAAAGCATGACCTTTGCCAGGGGACATGGCCGGCCGCCCGCGCCTGCCTCGGCCCCGACGGTCCTCCCGCCCCACCTGGGTCACTCGGGTCTCGCCCCCTCGCCCCCTTCCGGCTTCTGTTCCCTGGGCTCAGCGATCCGATCGGGTTCTGGTGCTGAGAGCTTCGCTGGGTCTGTCCCGGTCCTCTGCTCAGCACAGCTGCCGTTCTCGGGGCTCCTCATTTGTGACTCCAGAGTTCCAGAGGGGCCCTCTCCGGCGTCCACCCCCTCATTCCCCACGCAAATATTTGTGGGAAAAGCCCTCTAAATATAGACACACCTGAGAGCTACGCGCTTACGTGTGTGTGTGTGTGTGTGTGTGTGTGTGTGTGTCTCTGCATCAATTACCACACGTCTAACAGGCAAACACACACACATTGTGTGTGCACGTGTGCATGCGCGTGCAGGTGTTCAGCTGAGTGGGTCCTGACCTGTCATCGCCGCCAGATGAGAGCCTTGCCCATGGGGCCGCTTCGGCTCCCGCCCGTGGAATGGGATCACATCGCACCGTGTTTGTTGGCCTGGCAGTAATAACAGTGGGAGTTCCTTCTTTTATTCCAAGACTAATGTCTGCTCCTTCCCCGTCCATCCTAACGAGGACGGTTAGGTAGCCATTAGGGGGAGAAAAGAAGTGCGAACAAAAGGCTGATGTCTGGGTCCCTGAGAGGCGTCTGCAGGGAGGGACTGGCCAGCAGGGAGGCAGGTGCTGTGCGCTGTTTTCTCGGCCTGTGAGGGCGTTACCAGTGCTTGGGGGGAAGGTTCGGAGCTCCCGTGGTGAGAAGTCCCAGTGACCTATAGCACAGCGTGCTGCGCGTGATCGCACTGTATTGAATGCTCCGGGAGTGGCTAAGAGGGTGCAGCTTATGCTAAATGCTCATATCACGGAAAGAGAGGGGGCCCTGGCCGGTGGACAGAGCATCGGCCTGTAGACTGGAGGGTCCCAGGTTTGATTCCGGCCAAGGGCATGTGCTTTGGTTGTAGGCTCCATCCCTGGTCAGGGTACGGAAGGCAACTAATCGATGTATCTCTCTCACATTGATGTTTCTCTTTCTCTGTCTCTCCTCCTCCCCCGCCCCCTCTCTCTCTTATAAAAATAAATAAATAAAAGAAGGAAAGAAAATTTTTAATTAGAGGTGATAGTTCAGTGTATGACATTGTTGATGGTGATGGTTTCATGGATGTATACTCACCTTCAAACTCAAAGCGTCAGCCCTCAGATTGAAGAGTCCTGGGTTCAATTCCCAGTCAAGGGCACATGCCTGGGTTGCAGGCTCCATCCCCAGTAGGAGGCATGCAGGAGGCAGCCAATTAATGATTCTCTCTCACCATTGGCGTTTTTTTCTCTCTCTCTCTCTTCCTCTCCATTCCTCTCTGAAATCAATACAAATATATTTTTTTTAAAAAAAAGAGAAAAAATTTTATTTGTGAAATCTAGCTCTTTGAAAGGCTTCAGAATCCCCTCCAAACCTGGCCTGTGGCCTGGACGAGTGGCAGGCGGATGGGTCGCAGGATGGGGCCAGGAGAAGGAGAACGATAAAGCCGGGTTTCCCATGCAATGGCCAAGCCTGCCCCCCAGAGCACCGTCTGGGCCCGATTTGCCCTTTAACCCCCTTTTTCTGTCCCCCTTGCAGAAACCTGTCGAGTAACCGGCTCACGACACTGTCATGGCAGCTCTTCCAGACGCTGAGCCTTCGGGAATTGTAAGTCTGGTTTTGGAGACTGCTCGGCCTGGCGGAGTGGTGGTGGAGGGTGGGTGGGGAGTGTCGAGCTAGCTTCGGAGCCACCCGGGGCTGGGCGTCACCTGAAGGGGCTGCGGGACTTGGTGACGCGGGTGTACCATGTTCAGTGAGAGCCAATCAGCCCGTCGCTTGATTTCACACGCTCTTTCCAGCACATCACAGTTCTCAGGATGTTGCCCTTCCACCTTGTGTTGGCACAATAGGCATGGGGATCAGGGTTCCCTAGTCCCACAGGGCTGTGCCAGTCTATCGAGTGATGGGCGTTACTTGCTGCAGTCCTTACAAAAATCCTATAGGTAGGGGTTATTACTGTCATTCCACACTGGGACACTGGGTGCTGGGTAAGGTTAAGTATCTTGTTTAAAGTCACCCATTAACTACATGCGTATGTAGCCAATGGACTCAAGCTCTTGCCCACTGTGCTCAGCTATCTCCCAACTTCTTTAAAAAATGGATTTATTTAAAAAAAAATGGTGACATTGGTTAATAAAATTAAATAGGATTCAGGAGTACAATTCTATAACACGTCATGTGTACACTGTACTGCGTGCTCACCACCCCAAGTCAGGTCTCCTTTCGCCACCATTTGTCCACCCTTTACCCTCCTCTACCTCCCTCCACCCCCTTCCCCAATGTTTTCCGTCTGTTTCCAATCCAAGGATCTGTTCTACAATCATTTTCAAAGAGTGAGTGTTTACCCTTTTTCCATATGGAGACCTTGAAGTGACAAGGGGCCCTGACATAAGTGAGGTAATCGGGGAATCTCTTTTTTGGGGGGAGTCTTGCATCAAGTTACCCTGGAATGCCTGACCCCGGCGCCTGTGGGGGGCCAGGGACTGATGCTCTCACCTGGAAACACCTGTGGCCTGCACTTGCCTCCTCTATTGAGAAAACGTCCTGAAAAATCAACGGATGCGAAATCTGTGGCGCGCTGTCCCAGTGACGGGTTCTGTGGAGTTTTAGAGACAGTTGTTCGAGGATATATATTTAAAGCAAATGCCAGGCTCCTCCCAGAGGATCCTGGGATTCTGCATCCATCTCTGCCTGGGATCGATTCACCGCGCGCTGCCCGTGACTTATGGAGGAATGAAGACATTCCCTCCGCGCGAGTCAGCGCGTGAGCCCCTGTCCCCGGAGCGTCCCATTCTGCCGCGCTGTTAAGTAGGAAAAGAATTCACTCATAAGAGAAAGAAGCCCCTCTGAGGAGCCATCGCCCTGGCAGGGGTCTGCTTTTTGAGGAAGAATGGACTAGCCAGAGCGGAAAATTTATCTTTTGGCCGGAGGGGCCGCGTGTTGGCTCTTGGCTGTGGCTTTGATTGAAATCCAAACAATCCCAGTTCTGGCCAGTGCGAGAGGGGCAGTGTTTTCTCGTCCGACTTCTGATGAGTCCACATGGCGCCATCCGCTGGGAACCACCGGACTGCCAGGGCCTGCCCGTGGGCCCGTGGGCCCTTGGCAGGGTGCGGGATGGGCCGGCTCTTTGCAGGAAGGGAGGGTTTCGCCCCGGAGGAGATGGCTCTGTGAGCTGTGGCAGCCAGAAGGGGAGGCCGAGGCTCCAGCGACCTTCTGCAGGAACCGAGGGCAAACTAGGGCATTCAACCATTTCTTTTCTTTTTAAAAATATCTTTTTATTGACTTCCGAGAGGAAGGAAGGGAGAGGGAGGAAGAGAGAGAGAAACATCAATGATGAGAGAGAATCTTGGATCAGCTGCCTCCTACACGCCACTCTATTGGAGATCAAGCCCGCAACTCGGGCATGTGCCCTGACTGGGAATCGAACCCTGACCCTCCTGGTTCATGGGTCGATGCTCAACCACTCTCTCAGTTACTTCTGTGCGAGATGGAGGCTGTGGCCTTGGCCCAGCAGCTGGCCGGGGTGTGTGTGTCTCACTGAGAGGACTGGCAGCGTCTTCAGAGCTGTCAGTGCTGTTCCAGGGCCCGGATTTGAGTTGGCGCTGCTCGGCGCTCTCAGAAGTTTCTGGTTAAGGCAAGATGGTGTTTTCCCTTTAAGGGAAGACTGGGCCGGCCTGGCCAGAAATCAGAGCAAGAACCCGAGATTCTCTTAGAGATAATGAATTGGAAAGAAGAGAAGCTTGCATTCTGTGTCCCATGATGTAATTTAGGCTCAGGGGATAGAAACTGATGGCCCAGAACCCTCCAGAAATACCTCTGGGGACCTTTCCTTTCATGCCCTGCACACATGCCCTGCAGACATGATTCAAATAGCTAGGGATACTTCATTTTTTTTTTTTTTTTTTAAAGCAAAGTGATCCTTACTCCTGGTACAATTGGCAGGTTTAATCGACTTGGTAAAGTGTTAGCTCTGTGTTGGGATGGGTTTGAGCTATCCTGGCCTGTGACCACTCCCCACGGATCTCTGAGAAATCACCAAGCCATCCTGGGCTTCGGGGTCCATGGCTTGTGGAGCACCTGCCTCCGTCTTCTCACGCTGTTTGTCTGTCCTTTCCATCTCCTTGTCTTTGGTCTCTCTCTCTCCCCACTTTCCCCGATAAAGATGCCAGTCATTGCCCTAGCCGGTGTGGCTCAGTGGATAGAGCATCAGCCTGCGGACTAAAGGGTCCCAGGTTCGATTCAAGGGCATGTACCTTGGTTGCGGGCACATCCCCAGTTGGGAGCATGTGCAGGAGGCAGCTGACCGATGTTTCCCTCTCATTGATGTTTCTAACTCTATCCCTCTCCCTTCTTCTCTGTAAAATATCAATAAAAAATATATTAAAAAAAAATAAAACAATGCCAGCCTACATCCAGAATGACCTCATCCCACAATCCTTGACGTGGTTACGTCTGTGAAGACCGTGGGTCTAACGCAGGCTGCCTGCACGGGCGCTGGGGATGAGAACTTGGCACGCCCCCTGGGCCCGGGGACCCTCGTCAATGCACTCGATCTGCCCGAGGTGACCAGCTGGCTCCACCCAGGGCTCTTCTGGGTACTTTTCCTGCCCCCTGACGGTGCTGTCAGGCGGCCTGTGCTGGCCTCTTGGCCCTTTGGGCATGTGCTCCTCTGTGACAGCGGACCTGGCCCCTTCCTCCGTTTCCACATCCTGGGCCTGGCCCGAGGGCCTGCCCTGCTCTGCTCCTGCCCTCCCTCTGCCTGAGCCCTGTCTTCCGGATTGCTCAGCGAGGGCCGCTGTGCTGAGACTCCGTGCTGTGTGTGTGCCTCGCTGTCTGGGAGGCAGGAAAGTGCGGGCAGTTCCCAGAAGGCTCTGGGGCAGAGGAGAGGAGCGGGTCTCACGTGCGTCCTCCCCGTGGGATCGGGTCCTAGAGGGAAGGGTGGAAGGAACCAGATGCCGTCAGTGGCCGTGCTGGCCTGTCTCACACACAGACAGCTCACCTACCCTCCCGCCCCCGGGAGGGGCCGGCCACCTGGGCTCAGGAGCTCCCGCCTTCTTGCCTGCAGGAGGTTGGAGCAGAACTTCTTCAACTGCAGCTGCGACATCCGCTGGATGCAGCTGTGGCAGGAGCAGGGCGAGGCCAAGCTCAACAGCCAGAACCTCTACTGCATCAGCGCCGACGGCGCCCAGCTGCCCCTGTCCCGCATGAACATCAGCCAGTGTGGTGAGGGCGCCCCCCCCTGGCCCCGGGAAGGAGGCCCTCCCCGCCCTGAACTCTCCCCTCCTGGGCACTCCTGCCCCTCCTGAGCCGCCATGCTCCGGGAATGCAGAGGGGGGGTCCAGTGCGCCCCTTCTCCTCAGACCCCACTGCTTCCTGCCTGGCAGTCACTTGCCAGCCGGACCTGAGCGTGAGTCCTCACAGTGGGGCCCCCAGACCTTCTGTATCAGGAGCCTCAGGTGCTTGTAAAAAGGCAGGCGCCTGGGCCCAAGCGCGGACTGGCCTCAGGTGTCCGGTCCCCAGGATCTCAGAGCTCATTTCGGAGGGCCAGCTCCCCAAGGCTGAGCTCTGCCATCTGACTTCTTGCTGGACCCGCCTCCCCCCGCACCCCGGGACTGTGTGGGAGAGTGCGACCACAGGGAACAGCTTCAGTTCCCTGGGTGATGTCAGTTGGGAGGCAGTGTGACCTCCGGGGCTCGGGGGCTCCTGAGAGCCACAGCGGGCGATGTTGGCGTTGTTGTTGGGGCCAGGCCACGTCTGGGAGTCAGTATTTGCCTGTCCTCTCTGCCCCCGCCTCCAGACATCCCGGAGATCAGTGTGAGCCACGTGAACCTGACCGTGCGGGAGGGCGACAACGCCGTCATCACGTGCAATGGCTCCGGCTCGCCCCTGCCCGACGTGGACTGGATGGTCGCCGGGCTGCAGTCCATCAACACCCACCAGGTCGGCACCCCGGCTCGGGCTGCACCGGGAGGCTGGGGCCCACCGGCTCTTAGTCTTAATGAGACCCAACGGTCCAAGCAAGAGACGGGAAGAGAGGGACAGTCGCGGTCCCGTCTCTCCGGGAAGGGACATGGAGACCTGATCTTAGACATGCCAGGAAACTTCTCAGGGCCTCAGTTTCCTCACCTGTAAAATGGGTACAGTGCTGCCAGGCACCTCCTGTGAGGCTGAGGGAGCCCTTGATTGGAGAGAGCCTGGCCCTCGGGCAGTGTGCATTCGCTGGCGGAGCCCTCTTTATCTTTTGCTCGACTTTTCCTTTTATTAAAAGATATGTTTTTATTGCTTTTTAGAGAAACAGGAAGGGAGAGGGACAGAGATAGAAACACTGATGAGAGAAACATGGATTGCCTGCCCCTTTGCACGCCTCTTACTGGGGATGGAGCCCGAAATCCGGGCATTGAATGCCCCGACTTGGAATCCAGTTGTAACCTCCTGGTCCCTAGGTCATCGCTCAACCACCGAGCCACCCTGGCCGGGCTTTGCTTTCCCTTTGGATTCCAGAAGCTGTGTGGGTTTAGGTGTGGGAGCTGCCCGTGTGGAAACTGTCTGACGGTTGTCTTTCTGACGGCGTCTCAGACAAACCTGAACTGGACCAACGTGCACGCCATCAACCTGACGCTGGTCAACGTGACGAGCGAGGACAACGGCTTCTCCCTGACGTGCATCGCAGAGAACGTGGTGGGCATGAGCAACGCCAGCGTCGCCCTCACCGTCCACTGTGAGTGGCCGCACGGAGGGGGTGGCTGTGTGCACGCCGGGCATGGGGCTGGTCCGCCAGGAGGGGTGAGTCAGTCCTGGGCTAGTGACCCCGGGAAGGGGCATCCCTGCCCGTCGGAAGCCGGTGCCTCCCACTCAGCTGTGCCTTCACGACTTCCAGTTTGACCCCTCGGCCGAAAGGCCGTGAGAGGGAGCACCCCAGCCCTGGAGATCAGGGTGCTCTGGGGGTGACGGGGTCTTTTCCGAGCAGGGTGGGGGTGAGCGGTGGGATTCCTGGGCCGGCTCCTGGGAGCTCTGTGTCCTGGCACCAGCTGGCCTCTCCCCGGCAGACCCCCCGCGCGTGGTGAGCCTGGAGGAGCCGGAGCCGCGCCTGGAGCACTGCATCGAGTTCATGGTGCGCGGCAACCCGCCGCCGACGCTGCACTGGCTGCACAACGGGCAGCCCCTGCGCGAGTCCAAGATCATCCGCGTGGAGTTCTACCAGGAGGGCGAGGTGTCCGAGGGCTGCCTGCTCTTCAACAAGCCCACGCACTACAACAACGGCAACTACACCCTCATCGCCAAGAACCCGCTGGGCACCGCCAACCAGACCATCAACGGCCACTTCCTCAAGGAGCCCTTCCCGGGTGAGGCCATCCGGGAGCTCGGGGGAGGGGGGTGGAGAGGGGGAAGGGGGGTGGGAGGGAGGAGGGGAGGGATGGGACATGGTGGCTGGAGAGGAGAGGCAGCAGCCGCGGTGATACTGTTACCATGGCAACCAAACATCCACGGGAGCGTAGTCAGCCCCCCCCCCCCCCCCCCAGCATCGTGTGTAAAACAGATGAAGCGTCTGATTTCCAGTAGCTGTGGCCGTTCAAACCACGACCCCTGAGAGGTACCCAGTCGGGCACAGGAGACCTTAGCGTGTTTTGGTGGAGAAAGCAGGGTCTTGAGAGTTGGACAAGAAGGACAGAGACTCTTGACCCAGCCCTGTCTTTGTCGGGAGACACTGGGCACAGCCGTTGGCTTCTCAGAGCCTCTGTTTTCTCACCTGTGGGATGGGCACGATCGCACGGCTCCCGTAATGACCTTGAAGCTCTTAAACGGCTTAAGGGGTACAAAGCACACAGTGAGGGTTCAGTGACCTTGTTGGGGGAGGGGGCTGTAGGGACACTCTGCCCAGCTCCGCATGTGACTGGCGAATGAGCCAACCTCCTTCTTCTTGCTGGTTAGGGTCCAGGCTTCCGGGTCTGTGCATGCCCCCCTCCCCCCTCGGTGCTGAGTAGATGGGGTTGTCTGATGCTGTCACCTGGGATGTCGCTAATCGCTAATGTCACCCGCCCCTGGGTAGTCACTGAAGCAAAGGAAGAAAGACCTTTGGATATCTGGAAGGCGATTCTGTCTCTGTCTGGGCAAGAACGTGCCCGTTACCTTCCTGACGGGGGAGGGGTTTGGGGGAAGCGGCTGCGGCTTCTCCCTGTGGGGTCGGCAGCCGCTGCATTGCTGCTAAGGAAGCCGTGTGTCTGTGCCGGCCTTGGCGATTTGTGCCGGGAACATGCTGGTGACCTCTGGCCCTTCGGTCCCCAGAAATCGTGCGTTCTAATGAGATGAAGGGAAGTGTAAAGTCTGGCGCCTCTCTCTCTCTCTGGCTTACTGCTGCATGCACACACACACACACACACACACACACACACACAGGCAGGGAGAGGCTGGCTCAGTGCGGCATCTGCTTGTGTGAAGGTGACTGAACAGCCACAGAGAACCAGGGCGGCAGCGCCAGGCAGCCGCGTTTATCTTAAAAAAAACACACACACACACAAACCAACACACCTCGAGCTAGGTGCTCCGAGGGTGAGACGGGGGAGAAACCAGGCCACGTGGGAAGCGGCCTTCTTGCCACTGACGTCCAGGGCGTGATGGAGCCACAGCGCATCTGACGCGCTGATGTCTGAGACCCCAGTGGTCCTGTTTGGTCCCCGTTTCCAGCATCGTCCCCACTTTGGCCAGTCACAGGCCCCGGGGACCTCAGATGGGCCAGCCCGGCTCTCCTTTGGGAGGCAGGCGGTCCTGGCCCGCACCGTGGGCGTGGCCTTTAGGGCACGGGGTTGCCATGGCAACCACGCGAGCGTGGACCTGCCCGGCACACAGGGCTGCGTGGCGCTGTCCCTGCTTGTGCGCGTCTCATGATCGGAGAGGGATTCTGTTAGGAGGAGGGTCTCCGCTCCCTGTGGGGGGTGAAGAGTTTCCAAAGAGAAGCCTGGGGCCTAGAGGGAGCGGGTGCAGGTGCTCAGGACCAGGGAGGCCTCAGGACGCCAGCCCCGCCCTTTCGCACGTTAGCTTTAGCACTCACGGATGACCCCTGCCCGCGACAATGACTACTGTGCGGTTTGCCAAGTGGTGATTTCTCTGCTCTCATCCTGCCCCCTGCATCTACTAACTGGAATTCTGCTGCAAGGGAGAGCTTTCTTTTTTCCGCCTTTGTCCATTCAGTTATTTATTTGCTCTTGGTATGGGTTCGGGGATAGTTATTTTGCCCTAGGCCTTATGACCTATGCGTCCATTGGCCCTGGCTGCCCTGACAGAATACAAGGGCCCCCGGTGGGGGTGTGGGTGGGGGGTTGTACAACAGAAATGTACTTCCTCACGATTCTGGAGGCTGGACCTCAGAGGCCAAGGTGTCAGCAGGGCTGGTTTCCTGAGGCCTGCCTCCTGGGCTTGCAGGCGGCCGCCTTCTGCCCATGTCCTCCCAGGTCCTCCCTCTGTGCACCTGTGTCCTAATCTCCTCTTTTTATAGGGACGCCAGTCATATTGGATTAGTGCCCACCTGATGACCTCATTTTCACTTAATCAGCTCTTTAAGGACTGTCTCAGATGGCCATAGTCTAATGCGCTGGGGTCAGCATAAATCCGGGCGGGAGTGACTCAGCGTGTGACAGCCCGTGGCTGTCACCGTCACTCTGCTGCTCACATGGTGCCAGGGCCGGCCATCGGGGACCGCCCCACGCGGCTCCGTGTCCTCCCTCCACGCCCCATGAATTCCCGAGCACGTTCTCACTTCCCGGTGGCGCAGACTGTGCCAAGCACGCCTGTCCTTTTCCTGAAATGCTGGCTTCTCCCGGGGCCCTCACTCCTTTCACTGGGTGACTCTGTCTCAGGCTGGGTTCCGAGTCCCTCTGCCAGGGCCCAGGCTCGGGTCTGAGTCCTGTTTTCAGACGAGTGAGATTCCACCAGTGAGTTCGTTTCTCTCGGCCTGTTTCCTTCCTGTTAAACGGGGGTAATCCCGCCTCCCTCCTAGGAGGGCTGTCAGGACTGAGCGGCACCGGACAGAAAGCGTTTAGCACGGCCCCTGGCTCACAGCTAAGCTTTCATCAGCAGGCGAGCCCCCGCTGTGGCTAAGCAGCGCGTCACACAGTGCCATCGGGGGCTGGGGCCCTGTGGGGTCCCGAGGACGCCACAGTGACCTGCTCGGATGAGGAATGCCGTCTTGAGGTCACAGCTGGGGGGGATGGACCCAGGGAAGCCCATTCAGCAGACTTCTCTGGACTCTAGCGTACCAAGGTCCCCCGTGTGTCAGCGACCGGGAGGCGGGGACCCTGTCTCAGACTAACTCCCCATCTCATAGCTGGGTCCCTAGCTGGGCTGGGCCATTTCTCTTGAAATCGGGAACTCTGTATTTATTTCTTCTGCCTTGGGAAGACCAGCCTCCTACGGAGGCAGCGGGGCGTGGGGCCGGGGTCACGTGCCCGGGACTTGCGTTTCCAGCTGCTGGGGTATCGTGGGGTCACCATGAGTGGGGAGGTCGTGGCTATTAAGATCACAGGGCACCCCGCTCTGTTGTTGACGACGCTGGTTAACAGCCTCTTTGTCTCTTTTGCAGAGAGCACGGATCCCTTTGACTCCAGTAAGTCCCCTCTACCTTTTGCTTTGAAGCCGGTTTATTCTGAGTCTTTGGGTCACCATGGAATCCAAATAATCCTCTGCCCCAGGCTGCCCCGGGCCCCAGGCCCCTGGCCGCCCGGCATGTCCGAGTGACCGAGAAAGGGGATGGAAGAGCCTGCAGCAAAGAACAGTTGGTGACAGCCACCGTCACCACCAAAACCTGGGGGATCCGGACGCGGGCTGGGACCCCAGACTGTTTTCTTGTTGTTGTTGATCTGTTTTATGCAACAGCCCAGGGCCCACGCTGCCCGGTGCCATTCTTTGCTCTGAGGATGGGGGTGGGGGTGAAGGTCCCGCGTTCCCCATGGAGCCTCCCCCGGCTGTCACAGCGGGCAGCCAGGCGGGGCCTGGGTCTCTGGAGAGGTCAGGCAGTAAAAGCAGGTTCAGGGGCATGCTGTCCAGCGTGGACTCCGGGCGTTGGGGAGCCGGTGGGGCTGGCACGGAGCCCCCCCGGGCCAGGAAGCTAACCCTCCTCCTTTCCGTTCGGTTTTCAGTCTACGAAGTGAGCCCCACGCCGCCTATCACTGTGACCCACAAGCCAGAGGAAGACACTTTCGGGGTGAGTTACTTCTGGGCTGGAAGGAGGCCGTTTTCACATTTCATCCGAGCAGTGGACACTCCGGTTCCGCCCCACTCGGAGCCCGGGACGTCAGGCAGGAAGGGCCCTGACCAGCGACCTCCTTCCAGGCACGGAGTCCTCCCTTGTCTGAGGAGAGTAATTCATTGTTTGAGGAAGCATTGGGGCCGGGAGGGAGTGCGGGAACCCCCCTCCGCTGCTAGCAGCCTGGCTGGGCCTGTGATTCGAAGAGGCTGCTTACTCTGCCAGCCTCCTAGGAAGTCAGTTATCCCAGCAGCTCCTGGGTGGGTGGGTGTCCAAGCCCTCCCCCACCCCCGACTGCCAGGGCCTGAGATTTCTCGGGGAAGAGTCCAGATCTCCCAGAATTCCCTGGTAAGGGTATTCTGTAGAGAACGTTCACGTGCATGCCCAGCATTGGCCTGCTAACAAAACAGTAACAACATGAGAGACCGAGGTCTCGCGAGGCTTCCGAGCACATCTATAAGCACACCCCCCACCCCCCTTATGCCAGGGGCTCAGAACCCCGAGCCGCTGACTAGGAATTCCCTAACCGGGGTGGGTCATTGTTAACCGGAGGCTGTTAGTGCCTCATCATTCACTGCCTCTGAAGCAGGGCTGGGAGCCTCTGTTCTGCAAGGGCCATTGGATGTTCACATCCTTCCCGGGCTGTACACAATGGTCAGCTTACAAACTGGCCTGCTGCGTTCAGCTAAACGCTGAATGAACTCACCCCAACACCTCGGCAGGGCCAGGCCGCGTGACCTCACGGGCCTCGCTCGGCCCGCGGGCCGGAGGTTCCCCACCCCTGGTCTATCGGCTCCTGCGGGCTCCTGCGACAAAGTAACTGTGGACGCTCGGCCCTCCCAGGTGTCCATCGCCGTGGGGCTCGCCGCCTTTGCCTGCGTGCTGCTGGTGGTCCTCTTCGTCATGATCAACAAGTACGGCCGGCGGTCCAAATTTGGGATGAAGGGTAAGGCGGCCTCGCGTTGGCCAGGGTCTCGTGGGGGGGGGGGAGTGTGTGTGTGTGTGTCTCTCCTCAATGCTGCTTCCACTTCCCGGCTCTCGGCGCACGAGGGTGATGTGGGAGGAAGGGTGCATTTGCGGGCCAATGAGAGGACCTGTTCCTTTTCGGTACCGGAGGGCAGGCAGATGGACGCGTTGTTTGAGTAACTTGGTCCTTTCCTTGCTGCCCCCACGCGCGGGGTGGTGGGGAGAAGGTCCTAGCAGGGTAAGATGTTGGGGGGGCTCCACGGAGAGTCCCAGGACGGGTGCTACGAGCCCCCTGCCCGTCTCAGTGCTGGCCAGCTCCCCAGACCCACCCACTCCGCCCTGTCACCGCCTGGATGGGCTCCGGGATCACCCCGGGCGCCCCATGGGCCAGCGCTGCCTGTCAGCCCCAGGTTGGAGGGGTGCCGGGTCCCCGATGGGCACTCCGGGAGCGCCCCCCGGGGGTCCGCACCAGTTAATAGGCACTCAGGGCAGAGTGGTTGCCGATTTGATTGCGATGGGGGTTATTACCGTTTTTCCGTAAACAGATGGTAGCTGCCCTCTGAGTGGCTGCGACAGCCGTGCCAGCATCTTGATTTGGAGGGGATGGCTGCTGCCAACACATCTCAGGGGCTGCTGCCGCGCGCATGTCTCGTTATCCCTCTGGTTAGCTGCCCGGTTACAGGGAAGCAGCGGGCCTGGGGAGGAGCCACTCCGCCCCGGCTCCTAACCGTGGAACGTGGGGCTCAGGGCTCCTTCCAGCTGCGGGGGCGGGGGAGGGGCTGGGAGGGAGGTACCTGGCGTCCAGGGCTGGGCTCTAACGGGACAGAGGGGAGTATCGTGTGTCTGCAGCCGGGAGCACAGAGCAGGGGTCGGTGCCGGAGAAATAACAAGGATGTAGATGGAGGCTACTCAGAACATCGGAAAGGGCCCTGGGCCCCGGCCAGGGAGGCACGGCTGGCACCATTGCTGAGAGCTGCTTTTGCCCGGCGGGTTCAGGGGTCAAGGGCAGTGCCCGGCAGCAGTGAACCCGGTAAAGGACCTGGCATTGCTGACTTCCTGCACGAAGTCCCTTCTTCCTTCTGCTTGTCCCGTCAGTGCTCGGTGCTCCACACGACCCCAGAGTCTTTGCTCAGACCACCTCAAAGGGTGCCCCCACCAGGGCTTTATGAGTTCCCAGGTCCCTCCCGGCGAGGTCTGGTCTTCACGCCCCCACGCTGGCCTGCCTTGCGCCCCGGGGGCAGCCCTCTCACGGGCCTTTATAGCCTCACCCACATGCCCCTTCCGCCCCTGGCACCGAGGCTGCCTCCCCAGCTCGCCCCTGGTGCGGCCACCGTTAGGGTCAGACAGGTCTGGGGTCAGATCCCGATCGGCTGCCTGGGAGCTGAGGCGCTCCCGTGACTCATTAACTCTCCGGGCCCCCGTGTCCTCGCTGACAAATGAGAGGGATAATCCTTACCAGGCAGGGTTTTATGAGAATTAAATGAAATTATGTATATCAAGCAATTAGCTTCGTCCCTGGCCATGCCGTAATTGCTCAGTGACTGTGGCGAGGGGAGCAGCGATGAAGGCTTCTGCTCCATTCACACAAGCCGTGAGTAATGCACAGCCCATCATGCACTGGGGCTTTCAAAAATATCGCAACGGCCCAGCGGCTCCCCTGACCAGCGAAGTCAGAGTTTCTAAAGCCCCCCAGGTGTGCGAGGCCGGTGTGGCCCAGTGGTCAGGCATCGACCCAGGAACCAGGAGGTCACGGTTCAATTCCCGGTCAGGGCACATACCTGGGGTTGCAGGCTCCAGCCCCAGTGGGAGGTGTGCAGGAGGCAGCCGATCCATGATTCTCTCTCCTCATTGATGTTTCTATTTCTCTCCCTCTCTCTCTAAAAATCAATTATTAAAAAAAAAAAAAAGAAAAGACCTCAGCTGACCGGTTTAAAGCTGCTCAGGTGATGTTGGGGGCAGCCTAGGTTGTGACCCCGAGCTGTGCCCTCCCCAGCTCTCTCTGGCAGAGCACCACCCCTTCTGGGTGTAAGCAGATGGGAGGGGGCGCTCTCATCGACTGGGACCCCAGTATGTGCCAGGCCCCGTGCTTGGCCCTTTATCTGCACGTTCTCATTTGATTCTCACCGTGAACTTGAGACACACAAATTATTGCCACTTTTCTTATCTGAGCTTCAGGAAGGATGAATGACTCGCTTCATGTCTGGCCTCAGCTGGCTTCAGATGCAGGACTATGGGGACAGGGGTGGGGCCAGGGCACTCTCTCCTCCTGTTTCTGCCCCCTTTCCCTCCCCGCTGCAGCACACTCCTCCAGCGAGGTGACTCTGCACCCGGTTTCCCCCACCCTCTGTGTGGGGGCTGGCCGCCACTCCCATGTAGTGTTAATGGCCAGCTGCCTGCCACTGCTGGGGCCCTGGCCAGCCACCCACCACCCGCCCTTCCCTGCGCGGTAGGTTGTGCTGTTCGCTTGAGGGAGAGATGGAGCACCTCATGGAGGCTCCCCTTGGCTGAGGGAGGAGCGGTCGCTGACCAGAATGGGCGCGTTGTTGATGTTTCAGCTTTTATCGCCATGAACTCCCAGGCACCCTATTGGGTTGGGGAGCTTGTGCCCCAGTCCCATTGGGCGGGGCATCGTCTCTGGAGTCCTTCTGGGTGGAAAAGGGCTCTCGAAACTGGGGTCCCAGCCACATGGTAGCCCCAGGAAAGCTCGTGTCTCCATCATAGGCAATCTGGAAAACGCCGAAAGAAAATCAGTGGTAATTCTGTTATTCCGCAATCACCCCTGTTAGTGCAATCAGTAAAGCGTGTGCCTGCAAGCATTGGCTGTGAATGTGTACAGACCTCATAACTGCACGTCCTGTGTCCGTGATCACGTACACAGTCTGCACATACATTTAAGTGAAAATGGTCTAGAGCAATCCAGTTATTTGCCATATTTTGTCACGTAATGTTTCTTAAACATTTCTCCATCTCAGACACAGCAATGCCCACTCACAGCAATGCCCAGGTACAATGCCCCCTTGCATTCCTGCAAGGGGGCATTGTACCTGGGCATTGCTGTGAGTGGGCATTGCTGTGTCTGTGTGAGGCAGGGGGGCATCTATCTCCGTAGCGCTTCCATTGCTCTGCAAAGCTGACTTTCCTTGCTTGCTTGCCTTCTGCTTCTCCCGTGGCTTGTGTATTATATACCATTTCGCTTGGTTAATTCAGAAGTTAATTCCTTTGCCCAGAGGGTGCGTGGCAGAGGGCCCGAAGGCGCGGGGAGGAGATGTGAATGAGCGCGGGGAGGACTCGGGCAGGACACGGGCTGCGCCTGCTCCGCGGCCCGGCTCCCCGGGGCTCCCGCTTTGTTCCGGAGGCGGCAGGTAGAGAGGCTGGGCAGCAGCCAAGCGGACCTGTTTCTGCCGGCAGCAGCCCAGCCGCCGCCTCGGTGGGCAATTACGGCTCTCCCGCTGCGGGCCGTTTCAAAGGCCTTGAGGGACGAGCTCCTCGCTGAGCGGAAAGCAGCGTGGAAGCTGCGAGGGACACAAATGAAACGTGTAATGGCAGCAGCCGAACCCTCAATCACGGGCGCGCACACACAGCAGCACACGCTGAGGTGGGAGGGGGCGGGCGTGGGAAGCCGTGGCTGTGGCCACGGGCTCCGGGCTGAGGCTGGGGCTGGAGGCAGATCCGGTCCTTTCTCTGAGCCTCAGTCGCTTCGGTTCACAGAGGGGGGAGGGGCGCTGTTCGGGAATCTAGGGCCACTGAGGGTCACGGCGGGCTTCTCGGGGCTACTGGCTGCCGACTCCAGGGTGGGGGCAGTCACCCCTGGATAGATGGCTGCCCCTCCCCGCTTTGGATGCAGAATTGGAGACTTGGGACAGAGAAAGGTCACTGGCTTCCTATTGGAAGGTCCTCCCCCGTCGGCTGCACACGGGGAAGGAAGGTGACTCCCCCACAGGAAGTCACGTGGCGGCTAGGGCGGGGGTGCGGGGCAGCTAAGACTGGACCAGTGACTCTGCAGTGGGGGTTCCTTCCCGGTGAGCCCGCGTAGGACCGCCCCAAGCAACTCCCCGGTCTAAATACTGCGCCGCCTCCGTGGCGACCTCAGCGTTGGAGGGCGCCGGGTGCTGAGTGCACAGGCCTCTTCTGTGTCCACAGGTTTTGCTGGTGAGTGCGGGTCTGTGACCTTTTCACAGTAAAAGTCACAAAGGCTGACGCTGCGGGCAGCGCCGGCTGTCGTGAGGTCGTGAGCCACCCGAGGTGCCAGCTGATGGCCGGAGAGGCCGTCTGTCTGCCGAGAAGGGGCTTCAGGCTGGGCTGGGCATTGCTGCGAGTGGGCATTCCTGCAAGGGGGCATTGTACCTGGGCATTGCTGCAAGTGGGCATTGTATCTGGGCATTGCTGTGAGTGAGCATTCCTGCAAGGGGGCATTGTACCTGGGCATTGCTGCGAGTGGGCATTGTATCTGGGCATTGCTGTGAGTGAGCATTCCTGCAAGGGGGCATTGTACCTGGGCATTGCTGTGAGCGAGCATTGCTGCGTCTGTGTGAGGCAGGGGGGCATCTTAGAGCTGGGGTTCCCACTTGCCTCGTCATCACGTATGATCCATGTGAGATGCTGGCGTTTGCAGATTTGCATTAAAACGATGAACTAGGTCAGATGAAGGTGCTTCATTCTGACTGTCCTCGGGTAGGACAGGGAGGGGTGGAGTTCAGTTCGCTCCCCTGGGAGTTTTGTGGGGATACTTCCTTGGCAGGTGAGCCCTGAAGATAAGAGTCCAAGAGCCGAGACCCAGGACTTACCGGTCCCTCTCGTTCACAGATACGTGTCCCCCTCGTGTGCATGGCCGAGGTCCCTCGCTGACCAGGGCACTGTCAGCCGGGACTCGGCACCGAGTCCTCAACACGGCCCGTTAGTCACCCCACCGGTGGGGAGGCTGACACGCATTGCCATGCCTGCTAAGCCTGCCCCAGCTTTAAGACCACTGTCCGCCCCGAT